AAAGGTGATAAGGTGGTAATAAATTGGGCCTTGTATCTAATTAACGGGTCCTTGCGTCGGGGATGGGACTAGATGAAGGTGATAACAAACTGGGCCTCACATCAAGGACACAGGATGAGTCACCCCTTTGAAATCTGAGCATAGGACCTATATAGGAGACCCTTCCCCCTTATTGAGTTGGCAGTAGCTGCGGACCCCACTCTAGGGGCTCCGTCTCAGCTGCTGTCTGGGAGCAATAAACTCACCTTGCTCAGCCTTTCTGCCTCCTGCCTTCCTTTCTTGCGGAAGGTCATAGAAGTTGGGACAAAACAACAGTGTGGTGCTTTAACCCATTGCACCACCAAGCAGGGCTCAACCTGAGATTTCTAAGGACTGAATAAGGTGGTGGATTGTAGAGAAATTGTCTGATTTGCTACTCTGCCAGCCTACAAAGGATGAATTTTTGTAAGATCTTTCTGTTCAAGATGAGGGAATCAAGATGGTGTGGTATATCCACATGAAATAGTACTCAGTGATCAAATAAGATAAACTCATGCCATTTACTGCAGCATAGATGGAGTTGGAAGGGAAATTAGTCAGAACAAGAAAGAGGAATGCCAGGTGCTATCACTATGTGGAATACAAAGGCACCAAAGGAAGGTTCAGATAAAGACAGACATTAAAACCATCCCCAGGGAGGAGTCAGAGGGGTTTTCCCTGCTGTCTCAGTTGTCTCCTGGGGGGCTCTGGGGGGCTCTGGAGGGCTCACCTGCTGTGCCTTAGGGCTCTACTGTCATTTGTTCTCTTTTAAAGGCGTATGGGACAGATCTCAAGGTGGCTTCCTGGAATAAGTCCTCTGTAAATGATAATCGTGCCAGTTAAGAATTAAAAGATTAAGGAAACTCTGGGTCTTGAGGGAATAGTGAACTCCCTGGAGAGCCTGAGTATGCTTCTGGCATTTCCATAAAGGGCTGTCATAAAAATTACTAGAAACTTCGAGGAATATACAATATCCGTTTTAGTTGTATTATATGGATTGGACCATAGCTCTGAAATTTAGAGCCTAGAAATTCACAAGTTGCTTTCTGATGTTTAAAGACCCAATTCTCTCCTTTCCAAAGTGACATCAAAAAGAAAATGCCATTACAGAATAATTAAAATTATAAGAAGAAATTAAGACTTGAACAAACTTTGGCACATAGTTAATATTACTGCAATTCATTTTAAATGAGATATCGACTTCATCATCTGCTCTTGGCAACACTGTTTAGACTGACTCAATTAATAACCGTTGGTATTTGAAAATGAAGCAAATTTGTTTATATATAGTATTCTAGCAAACACAATGGATCTTTGCTGCATTTTAATGCTATGAAAAAAGCTCAAAGTTATATATTGAAGTCGGAGGCTAAATTTGTTCAGGGAAGATAATTGTTATTTGTCACTGGAAGAAAGATTCATTCACCAAGATGTATTCCATAATAATTTAAGCCTTTTAAAATTCTATTCCTAGGAACTAGCAATAAGCAGAGGAACTGCTCTCTGCATGAATCTCTTTTGATTTAAAACTGCCATGACACTCATTAAAATAATTGAAAGAATTATATACAATTAGTGAGCTGCTTATGCCTAGGGAGCAAACTCTGGGTCCTCACCCACTAGGCACCCCAAGCCAAAGCTGAAACTTCTGCAAATTTTTAAAGGTAGTAAAGTATATAGAATGACAAATTAAATATTTAGAGATGCCTAATCAGTAGGAGAACTCAGCCTTTATCACCGTAAGGGCCAATGACAAACTAAAGTTGAAAGATACAGTTGGGAATTCCACTATCCTCAGGGTACCTGACTGCAGAAAAAGAACAGATGGCATGGGGGGGGCCATCCGAGCCTGAAGGAAATATGCGTTTCGGCAGAGAAGGCATGTGTGCTGATATGATAAGGAGTGTCAGGGAAAGCTAACTCATCTCTGTCACCAACAAAACAGCATGTGGAGAGGCAGGGAATCACTCAGGTGAAGTGAGAGTGGCCAGATTCGTTTCTAACAAGCAGGTAACAATTGAGCACGTCAGCTTTTTGGCAGAGTAATTTCCAATGTTGGAAGACCATGGACTTACATTTTCATGGTTGAATAGCACATACGTCTCTCATTTGGGCTTGTGTCCACATAGCAATTTAATGTGGGATTAGTCAGTAGATATTTTTACAGAAAGCAATGCAGTCAAGTGAAAGCTAACACAAATTCTAATTTTGATGATGAGAAATGTACTATATGTGACTGCAGACACCAGCATAGCAGACTGGTTAGACATGCAGAAGATTGTGCCACACTGTCTGCCTTGGGGTGACCTCAGGTAGTCTTGGACAAGTCACTCCACTTTTCTGTGCCTCAATTTCTGTAGTTTTTAAAGAGAAGTTACTCACAACACATAGTTATTCATAGGTTATCATGAGGATGAAGCTGGTTACAACTGCTAAGTTGCTCCGGTAAGTGCCTAGCACATCACAGGCACTATAGAAATAGATGAGTAAGAGCTTTTAAACAGTCTATTTAAATTATTTTGACCTGGTGTTAAAGGGATAGCACAAATTCAAGTTGAGAGTTGATGTATGTTGGGAAAACTCTGAAAGCTATGGACAGTTCCTACTCTACCCCCAACCTGTTTCCCACCACACTATCCCAAGGGAACTATGTTACTTTAGTTTCTTGGTGGTGAAAAGAAAAAGAGACAGTCATTTGGTTGGAGACAGGGTTTGCTAAATATACACCATGATAGTTTAAGAGAAGTTTCTCTTTTTCAGCTTTATTAAACTAAGGTTTATTAGAAGCTCACAACTATTCCTCCAGTAAGTAACAGGCTCCATACAATCATTCAATCACTGTTACTTCAGCCCTCACTTAATCCAAGTGTACATTTACTAGGTGTTGACTAAGTGTTGGCTATCTTTCTAGGATATCAGCCATACAGATGATTGTTTCCACCTGCAAGAAGGCAATCCTTAAATTCCCACAAATATAAATTTCTACCTTTAATGCATGGCCTCAACCTTCTCTATTATAATTATTGGCTCTCTACAGGGACTTTTAAGCACTGAACTGGTACTGACTTTTGGATCAGAGAAGATAAGCAAGGACATACGAAAATAAGATGTATGAAGGGAGTCAGGGGAAGGTTAAAGAAATAGTCAAAAATGGGTCTAGTAGAAACCATGAATGTCAGAGACATTTAAACACAAGATCAGCTACAAATCTTCAATCCCCAAATAGAAGGTAACAATGGGTCATTTAAGTCAGAACACACAAGTGTCACAGGGCTATGAACTATGACGTTCATAGTAAAGAGACAATGAGTATCAGCGACGTTAAATACCAGGACCTGCTACTAATCCTGAATCTCCAACTGGAAATGTAACAATGAGTCATTTACTTCAGAGCACACACAGGGCTCTGGACTATAAACAAACATTTTAGGTAGCAGTGAAGCTATATACAGCATTTCCCCAAGCTAACTATGCTTCAGCCCCAAACACCCTTTCTGCCTGCCAGGAGGAATGTGTGCCTGCATGCCTGCCTCTGAGAATTTTCTACACAACAGTTAATCTTGTATCATAACTTCCTGGATCACATTCAGATAAAAATGCTACCAAGGCTCATGTAGAAAACCATCATGGTGACAAGTCTCTCTCTGCAAGTAAGTTCTTCAAAGTTTTTTTTTTAATGGTACCCCATGAAGATCATGGCTTAACATATCTGGCAACTGATGCCAATGAGAGAGAAAAGCTATATGCTGCTTTGATGATGAAAGGTAGCAGACAAGTAATTTTAAATGGCAAGTCTAAATTGGGACTCTTCCAATTAGCTGTGAATCTATACCATTGGCTTAGTACAATAAGAAGCACAAAGCTCAGAAAACTGATTTTCCTTAGAAGAGGAATCCCTCATTTACTGGGGAGAGGGAGGTTGCCACCATGTAAATTGTGCCGATGTGGGGTGACTTAGAATCAAAGGTTGGATTGAGAAAGAGGAAATCATTACAGCACAAAAACTATGATTTACACTTTTTACCTCTGAATGTTCTTTTTCATTCCGCTAATAGCAAAGGTAGACCTAGTTTTCTGCTACTTAACAAGTCATTAGCTTCATTAAAACAATGACTAAAGACAAAATTTATTGACAGAGGAAAAAAGTCATGTTCATGACTTAAAAGTCCTGCCTATCAAAGTATTTCGGTTTTCTAGAGCTTAGCTTGTGGTTATTTGTCAGGCAATGAAGACCCAAGATCCCGTTATATAAACACTATGGTGAATATCATTCGATTTTCTAAAGCACATCAAAGCAAGTGAATGAGACAGGCTATGAACTAAAAAGGAAATGCAAATTTAAGAGTATAAAGAAAAATCAGGAAGCAACAGCAGGGAAGAAAGAACATACCAGCTATAGGATTATATTTTGTTTGAGAAAGAAGTCCTGCTATGCAGTTTTTAATGGATTTTTGCTGAAGGGTAATTTCCTGAGCCTTATAGGTGAAATAATCAATTTCTCCTAATTTAGGAAAAATTTCCCCCACTGTGGCTGTAAGAGTAAGTTCTAGGTTTTATGATCACGATACATTCACAATTTTTCTTTGGGAATGAGTATGTAAGTACTCCAAGTTTTATAAATTACAGTTAACTGGGGAGCTGAAGAGTAAGGTTTACTAGTCCATTATTAGCAACAAATTTCTGAAAGAATTGTGTCTCAGAGGAGATTTTATAACATAAAGGTGACATTATACTTATTTATTTTTATTAGAATTGCACTGACTTTATTGATCAGTTTGAGACAGAAAAGACACCATAGTTGAGTTTCCCAACCATGAACCTTCCCATCTAATTAGGTCTCTCTCAAAGCATTTATTCATACTCTTCAAAAGTTGAAGGATATTGTGAATGGTTTCCATTTATTCCTAAAGGTGATATTTAAAAAATATAATAGTTGAGTCCAGTGAGCAGGATAATGGTGCTACCAAAAGGAAGTGTCTTACCATACAAGTGTCCAGGTCTTCCAAACGCTCTATCTCAGTGAGCTCCTCCATCGTGATGACTGAGCGTTTAACTGGCTTCTCCTCAGCCAGCTCAATCTCTAAGGATTCGTGTTGAGGAAGGGCCTTGCCACGCCTGCTGAAATGATCAGCCTAGACAATCAAGACATGCACAATATAAATAAAAACAAGAGGCAAAGAAAGAGCATATTAGCAGAATTTTGGTAGATGTTTCTCACAGGATGCCACATACAGTAAGAGATTATGCCTGCAGATGGTTAACAATTCGTAATAAATACATACTTTCCTATTTCATTATCTTTTTTCAGAGGGCAGAATGTTTTAAGCAAAAAAATACAAAACCTTTAATAAATGAGGTGACTACTTAACTTAGGGAAAAAAAGGAGTATTCTTTATTAGTTTTATTTCAAAGTTCCTCTGAATTTCTATATCTAGGGGTTAAAAGTATCTAATAAGGGAGAAATAAAATTATCCCAAAGTTCATTATTTTTAAGGGCTGAAAGTAAGGAAACTGGTAACAAGATTTTATTGTTGTTATGTAATGAATACCACGTTTGACAGGATTTATTAATTTCCAGTGTTACATTCTAGGGAGATCTAAAAAATTAAATACCACAAGTTGGAATAAATTGAGCTAAAATTAATAAGCCCTATAGCTAAGTTGACTCATTGATTAATTCTTTTGAAATGATGGGAAGCAGTTGACAATTCCATGGAACCTCTGGGAACAGTTCTAAACTTAAGTTGGAGAAAATAATAGTGGCATTAGAATGTCTTTCAAAACAAAATTTCATCTTGAGGATACCATTTTTTTTTTCACTAGCAGTTAAACTATCCTCACAATCTAAACCAGCATGTTAATATTAAAATCTAAGTTCAAAACAAAAGTGCTTTCACACAATTTTTTCTCAATTGCAAAAAGAAATGTCAGTGCTTTCAGTAATTAAACTCTTCAAAGCCCAAATGCAAAAAATTCAAAATTTTCAGTGTAGTCCTCACATGTATAATATAATATCCAGTATTTGAATCATCAAGAAGGCATTTTGAGGCAGTTCCTGAAGCTGTGGGTCATCAATAAACTATTTCATATAAAGGAGGCTTTATTGATTTTGAGTTTACTTATTTAAAAATTGAAAAGTTTGATTTGGAAACTCTAAACAGTGCCATGGATTAGGAATTGGGTCTTCTTAAATTCTCTTCTTAAATGTCAACTACTTTTTTCCTATTTCCAATTAACAGCAAACCAAAGTATTGGTAAAAATACAATACAAATGAAAAATGAGAAAAAAAAGCATCTGTTTGGACACTGTTCTGGAAACTTCTCCACATTTCCCCTTATGGCTGAACTAACCTTGTCATGGCCTAATAGTTGACTGACTGTTAATGCGACAGCAATACTTTGAGTAGCAAATCTTCAGCAAATGTCTATCTTATCTTACATTTCAGAGGAGAGTGTTACTTATTTCTATAAGTTTTTTCAAAACACCCATGTTGTTTCTATTCCTCTCATCTTGTTGTTCTCTAATGTCAGCCAACAGTTAAATGCCATAAAATTGTATAACTGCAACCCAGATAGTTAACTTGAAATTTTTATCTGGAGAAAGCATCATACCTTTTTTTGGGAAATTTGTACTGCATCATATTGCTTATATTATTGAGACCCAAAATATAAACAACAAATAAAACCATCGGGATCTCAGAAGACTTTGTGATATACAAAGACAAACATGATATATCTGATATATTTTTCCTATGTACTGACACTGGTTATCACTGATATTGGAAGTAAGGTCACACAGGCATTCCATCCAGGGGCTATCAGCCACTAGAGAATATGTTCATTTCACGGTGGCATTTTTTAGGATGTCAAATATCTCATTTGCCCTGTGTTTTCAAGAACAGTCCATTCTCCAGACAACTGGATAAAGAAAATATCCAATATATCCAATACTATACTCAATAGAATACTACTCAGCTACTAAAAATGATGAAACAGTGTCTTTGGGGACAAAATGAATGGATCTTGAAATAATTGTTAGGTGACATAAGTCAGAAACTGAAAGACCTAGATGGTTTCACTCATTTGTGGAATATAAATAAAGACAACAAAAAGGCAAAGCACAACAATCTGTTAGACTCTGCGAAAAATATACTGATTATGAGAGATATGGATGGTTCAGGGAAGACGGGTTAGAGAGTGAAATCTGCACACATATGGAAGTGTATCATTGGAAACCCCCAAATTATACAGTTATATAGTTAACTGCCAGATCAGTACAATTTGGAGAAAAGAAACAGTCCCTTCTCATGCAGAGAATGATGAAAGACACAGGCCCATTGGATCTTAGTCTTCTACCAAAACTTTTGATTGACATGGCAAAGGACAGCAAGATTTCTGGATACCATCACTTCTGCTCCTCCTACCCCCACCCCAGTGCCTGAGAGCAGGAGAAATTCTCTTCACCTATTCTAGGATGGCTGGAGGCAATGTAGAAAAGGAAGGAGGAAAACTAGAATCTTAAACAAAGGTTACAAAGGAATTTAAAGTAGACACTACCTCCCCAAGCTGGAGGCCATGACTTCAGAAATTAAATAGGAGGTCCCACCAATGATGTGCACGGCACTCACCAGTTTATGATGGCAGTTTGAGAGTGCATCTAGAATTTCATCCACAATTCGGTCTGAGAGGAAGGAGGCCACAGTCAACTTCACTTCACTGTGTGAAAATCAAAAGCAGCATTTTGTTTGTGCAAGGGAAAAAGAAAAATTCACCCACCCTTGAAGCTAGGTGGATCAAATCAACTGTGATTCTGTGCTGTCTTTGAAAATGGAATATAAGAATGTGTGAACAGGGCGAGGGATTTCCAAACATCAGCCTTAAACACTGCCATAAACACACAGGTAACAGACTTTCTTTTACCCACGTTAACCTGCCTCTGCAGTTTCAAAACTCAAGATTTAGGGGTAGAAATGAAAAACATCTGGATAAAGACAAACTTAACGAGAACCATATGGAGTGTATGGTGAGGAACAATTCACCCATTGACATAAGTGAAAACAAACCTGGGCTGGAGTAAATTAACAAAGTCTAGCCTGGTTGTTCAGATTTGGTTATGCATATCCCTGCTTTTAAAACTCTCCTACCAACCAAATGGCATCCAGGATACACTGCCTGTGCTTTGACTAATCATCTTTGAGTAGTTACAGATTCATGTGCTCTTATCTTTTCTGAACAAAATGTACCTTTCTCACCCATAAGGCACCATTTCAGTATCTGTGGCCTGACTGTAAAAAGGTGCCCCCAGAATAAAGTGGCTTGCAGTTTTTGCTAATAAATGACCCAGATGGCTGGTATTTTAGCAGGCATGTTAGCGCTTTCATATTCCTAAGAATTCAACTGCCACGTGTATCTTCAGTGTGCATGAGCCCAAAGAAGTACACATATGTACTAGTATAGATAAACAAATTATGTGTTTAAGGGTGAATTAACTGCAAGTACAGATTCACATTCCATCGCTAGCTCCTGAATTCAGTTTTCTTTTCAAGTCAACAGTTTGAAAGTATTTAAGTGGGGGAAATGATTTAATTCTAAAGCTAATGTTGAAAGTCTATCTGTTTTACAGGGAAAGCCTTTCTAAAGCAAAGGCAGTGATTTGCATTGAAACTACTCAGCCCAGAAGATTTCTGATGGAAGGGCAGAAGAATGGAATCTTCAATGCCTACAGTAAAAATTTCCCTGAGCTCACATAAGAGGATGTTTCTTAATTCCTGTCTCTGAAACAAGGTCTGACGAGTTAATTCTTTTTATCTGATAATTGACCTCGTTATTACCCAGATGTGTCCAATGATATGACTGACCCAAGAGTCTTATAAATAGAGATTTTTTAGGTCATAACCCAAACCTTCAAAGGGACCCGGGAATCTCACTTTAACATGTATGTCCTCTGATTCTTTTTAGATGTACTATTTCCTCATGAAACTATAGTCAGTAATTTGTTTCTCTTTTTTCCCTCCTCCCCGCCTTCTAAGGTAAGGAGGAGGAGTTTATCCAGATCAAATTTTAACATGAGAAATTATTCTGAAAAAATGCAATCATTTTTTAATATTTCAGAACTGTTTTATCAATTTCCTACTGGATGCAAACTTTCACTTGGCAGAATTTTTCAAGGAAGTGACAGAATTTCATCTGCCTGGGCATACAAGCACATGAATGTATGCCTACGTCCAGTACACATGTACGAACACAAGCATCAAGTGTGTATTTTCATTCTATCACTGCTCAGCATAATGCATAAAAAGCTAAATCAGTCTTTAATCGACAAACCACTGATTTCGTTGACGTGAGGAGGTCCACACTGCTGTTAACCTTTCAGAATTTGCCCATTTTCAGGCAAAATAACGGTACTGGATGGAATTAAGTATCTAACAATGACCTATGGGTAGTTCAATCTGTCCTTATGAACAAATGGAGGATCACTACATTTTTTCTGCTTCATACCTATGGGGCATCTGTAAAGATTCTGAAGCTAGAAATATGAAACGTATCTAGTAGGTTCTAGAGTTAAAAAAAAAAATCACCAATATGGGACATAAACCCTCAGAAACACTTTTTTTCCTCTCGAGTCCTTCCAGCTGCCTTACAACTCACCTGGGATGCTTGTTGATTTTTTCATTCTTTTTGTTTTTTATTAAACCATACATACAGTTCAGCTTAGACCTGAGGCTATCCGGTTACTGCAGCATTCCTCAAACCCCAAATTTTATAATCAAAGTAGATGCCTGTCAATCTTTGACATCTAGATCATGATGTAATCTTTGACTTGTTTCGCGTCTAACTCATTTTTCTTACATGTTGTCATCAGTTATATTATATGTTAGCAACACTCTCAACTATAAGGTGTTATTTCTGCTACACTTAAATATTCTTAGCCAAATTCAGGAAAGGTTAAAATGAGGAATTTAAAATGTTTCTAAACTTAAGTTTCTCATCAACTAATTCCTCAACAAAGAAACATAGTAAGAACTGGCTGGACTATAACTGACTACACCTCAATTTTCAATATAGAAATTCAGGAAAGATTATTAGCGATCAAGCCTTTAAAATATTTTTTATCTTGGCACAGTTTACAAACATTATCAAGCAGAATTTATACAACTATGTCAGAACAACACTAGCACATACACAGTATCCCAGCTGTGCCACAAATGCCCAGAGGGGTAACATGAGGAGGTTGTAGTGAGCCTCTTTGCTTAGTTACATATAGGGGTGCATTTGGCCGATAGAATACAGTGGTAGAAAGCAAATGATTTCAGTCGTCCAGCTCGTGATTTATAAAGGTGAAATATGTTTTCCAGAGCAGAAGGGTTGATAAACACTCCCCTTTCAAAAAAAAAAAACGACAACAAACATCAACCTTAAAACCAGCAGAGAACTCTGTATGCTCTTCAGTAATGCAGACAATTCTGTGGCCATCTTATTCTGGAAATGGAGTAAGTCCATGCATTTATGCACAGCTATGTTTATACCAGGGGCACCGGTTAGTCATGCCTAAACACATTCTATATGGCGATAGCCAACAATAACACCCTTACGACTGTTTCAATTGCATTCACAGAATCTGCAGATCTAAGGTTTGTGAACATTGTAAACCTACCTAATTTTGTTAAGGATATCAATTCCAGACTGTTCCAACAGGACATTTTTAACAAAGGTACGTGGGATGGATATCTTTTCCGTGCTGGCATGAATCAAGTCTTGCCGAATGTGGGCTTTTTTCATCACATTGGGACAAAGACTCTCAGCAGCATCGACCATGGACTCAAGCAACGCCTGCAATGCAGCACAAGTGAGGGAGATGATGAGAACACTGCAAGAGACACTCCTGTCCTAAAACCAAAAGGTGGTTAAGCACTAGGCGAGTTCCTTCAGGCAGAACAGGACGCGACAGAGCCTTCGGGGCACAGCCAAGAATTCCAAGCTGCTTCCAGGGGTCTTGTGCCTGGTGGCTGAGCACTGATCTCCAGAGATTACTTTGATTTAGATGCAGAGCTCCACCCTAGCGTCACACAGAAGTTACGACATGCTAATAACACCATGGTGTTCAAAAAGACACCTATAACATTAGATACCAACTTACCATTCTAGATTGCCCTTTCTGATACGAGAAAATAAAATTATAGTTATTCCCAGAAAAAAGAATCTGATTTGAACCTGTGTGCGACTTTGCAAATCACGAAAACCCCCAAACAAGGTGAGCCATACACTTGCTCTATCAAGACAGCAGGAGTAGTAAACATACAGAAACCACTGCCAGTTTTAGGTAAAATTGTAATTGCTCAGACAGTAAAACACATGGATGAGAGACAAAAACATTTACAGAGCACATGATAAACAACATTAGTAAGAACAGTTAAAACACTTACATAACCTATGTAACACTTCAGAGTTTGGAGACTGTTTCTGCGCATTTAATCCTTCAACTTCTGTAAAGACAGGTAGAGCAGCTACCCACGTGATCACCTTTTTACAGTTGAAGAATGTGAGCTAAGGGCCGTCCATGGTGCTGCAGCAGCTTAAGGTGTAGCATTATGAAGCTCTCCAAAGCCACCGCAGAGCCAGTTCGAGCAGACCTTCTCTGGCCGCCCACTGCTCCCCTCAGCGGTATATTTCAGTAGATCTGCCTGTTCTGCTCTCTGCTCTGTCTCTGATGAATCCTCTCAAGCCCCACTCCTCTGGTCTGTACCCCAGTTCTTGTATGCATAAATAAATAAATATTTAAAAAATAGAAGAATAATAATACGAGCTACAGGGAGCTGAGTGATATGCCTGAAATACTGACAGGACTGGTGGGTACATGGAGAGCATGAGGATTAGTGTCAGACCTAAACTGGAATCCCAGCTGACTTTGGGCTATCTTTTGGACTTTTACATTGACTGGCCACACCCATAAAACGACAAAAGATCTCACCTTGTAGATTATGGAAGATGAGTAGTAACTGGGCAAGGTGTTCAGTACAGAACCCAGCACATGACATGAATTCAGCAAACCACAGATAGTGTCAGCCATCTGACTTCAGAGACAATACTTCTAATGAGAAGATGCCAGTTTTGGGAAAGCAGAGTTAATCTCATTACTGCCCCAATGTAAGGGAGGACTAACGCAGATTATTTTGGTACCACTAGCAAATGGCCTGTCTGTTTCCATATACATGTGCAAAATGCAATCCATACTAGTAAACCTCTTGTGAGGCTGTAGGGTGTTTATAAAGATCTGGTGGAAAACAAAGGAGGGGGTGAGACAGCCATCCGAGAACTTTCCAAGAGTCACTCATACTTAGGTAACATTCTATCTCTAATTGCTGTTATAGTACATTATTCCAAGGAAGCCACAAGCAATCCAACTAAGTAGTTTGAGACAGATTCGTTGTTCCTCTGGAATTACAATAATCCCATTTTGAGTGCTAAGGCATCCAGTAATCCTCCTAAGAGTGGCCTGAGGTATCAGTACATGTGGATCCAGTTTGGATTCTCGCAAGTTCCTCCACACCTCCGAGACATTTGGGATGGTCTCCTCCTGCACGGCCATGCTTACTCAGTTGGAAGAAACCCCAGACCAGAGGAAGCCTGGCTCGAGGGTAGACTGTGTCATGAAGTTTCTGGAACGTCACGGGAGTACCTTTAAGTGAATAACCTTGGCAGATCTCTTCACTCTAATTAATAGTTTTTGAAGGTCTCTTTCTGCTCTGTAAGTCTAACACCAATGTTGACCCTACAGAAGGCACATTAGCCTACCTTAGGCCTTCACTTCAGCAGATATTTTCCCTATCATCGCCCTAAGCCAACAATATCATATAGCACTTTACATTAGAGAGAGCAAGGTGATCCTCAATTGCCTTCATGTAACAACCCTGTAAAGTGGAGGAGGATTTCAGCAAGCCCTTTTCACAGATGATGCAACAGAGACTCTGAGGAGATAAGTGACTTGCCCAAGGCCACTCAGCAGGAACAGGCAAGATGGGTGAGATGTTGTTTCCTATGCTTGTTTCCTGCTCGACCCTCTTCTTCCAGTGTCTCAATGCGTATCCAAAGAGGCCTGCCTTGCCTCTTCCTTATTGCCTACTTCTGTCCCCTGCCCTTGAGTCAAAGCCAGCGAAAGCTGCCAGGCTAACTTGGTAGCAGCAAGGTTGATGAGCAGGGGAGAAAGGATGACAGGGTAAATTTGCAGAGAAATTCCTGACCACTACTTTATGTCTAGCTCTCACTTCAGTACATCAAACCATCTCCTTCAACATCATCACTCAGAACCTGGCTTCCAATCACTACCTATCAGCCAGTGACTCTCAATCAAATGCTTATCTACAGCCACCGACATAAATATGCAATACCTCCATGAACAGCCTACTAAATATTTCCACCTTGGTATTCTACCACAGAAAGGTTAGCTGCAATACGTCTTACTCTTCCCTTTCTCCCACCCCAAGCAATAATCAGTTCAACAGCATCAACTTGGACTTGCAAAGCTTTTACTACTATGAGGAATGTACTGAATGAAATCAGGAATTTATGAGTCTCCCTGGACCCATCTCCCTCAAGCCCTTTCACTACATGCCAGAAACACTTTACATTTACTCCAAAAATAGAAAAGGCCAGAAATGTGATTCATTGGCACAGACTAGAAACCTCTGAAATATCTAGTAACCACTAAACTTTTCAAAGCCTCCTTTCCTGCCATCTCGCTATACTCACCTTATACAATTCATAGCCAGGTCTCCTTGGCAGTCCCCCACGCCAACCAGGCTCGGTCTCTGTGCTTCTCACCCCCTTTTCTCTTAGTCTGGAATCCTTATTCCTTCTGCAGCCAGAGGAATCATCTATAGGCCTCCAAATTCAGCTCCACTCAAGCACTAACACTGAGGGGACTTTTTTTAAAACACCCTTTCATACTCCATGCTGTGTTTGTTGACACTCCTTGGGGACTTTATAGTACCCTGGGGGAACCTCAAGCATTGGATGGATCATTAAATGGTCCAGAATTCAGCAACTAAAAACCATTTTGGGGGATAAAGAATTCCTCTAAGAAGCTGATGAACAGCCAGAAAATATAATAAGCAATTTTACTAGTTCTGGCGGTTCTAGAGGAGACACTGACCCTATAGCCACAGGGCCACTTTCTAACTAGCTCATAAGAAACTTAAGAAAAGTGTCTCAAGCCCAGGGTCTCACCGGGGACAGGTACTGACAAATCTGTCCATTCCTTCTATACGGATTTCAAATCTGCCTCTGATCTTCCCTATCTTCACATACATGTGTGTGTGGGGGGTCTATTTCTGGAATTTCTCTTGCTGTTGCATTGGTCTGTCTATTTCTATGCACTATCCTGATTATGGTAAGTCTTCACCTGTGCTAGGGCAAGACTATCAACCGTTTTTTTTCTTTATATATGCTGGACTCTAACTGAACACTGCTTTCTGTATATTTAAATTGAACTCTGTCAAACCCTTTGGCTTTTTTCTTCTCTCTCTTTAAGAAAAATACTGGATGATCCACTCATAGCAGGAATGTAAGGAATAAAGGGAGAAGAGAACACACACACACACACACACACACACACACACACACACACACATATATGAAACACAAACATCAATTAGTAACTATAAACCAGAGACTTTCTATGGGGGAAGAAAGGGAGACAGGATTAAAATGGGGGTGGGAAGAGCACACAGGACTATGGTGATGGCACATGGGCGAACTGGTGGTGGGAAGTTCACGGAGATTACAACTGAGATGAAAAAATATGCAAAATGAAGAAT